TGGAAGTAACATTTGGAACAATTACACAACTCTAGTCTAGATAGATACTCGACTCCATTCCTAGCTCCTTGTGGAAATCGATCCCGACCCTCATATTAGGTAAAAGTTATTGCGACCCTCTCTTCCTAGTTTTAGTAGTGTGGAGTTGGTAGCGATCAATGAGTAGCCTTGCGTGTATTCCAGTTGGTGAGAGACTGCTTGCTTTGGATGTTCAGGCTTTAGCCAATCAGTTCATGAGGTTGGATGTTTCTGAGCCCAGCTGTGTTTTAGCTTGTACAGTCGCCTGGTCTTCATTATTTGAGAGTATCATAGATCGGCAGTATGATCCTCATTTGCTTGTCCTTAGAGACACGGTGTGGCACAGAGGTGCCAAGCAGGTTACAATTGGAGATGATAGAGTTTTGAGGATGCAGGGTCATATTTGAGTGCCTAATGTGGATGAACTTCATAAATTGATTCTAGAGGAGACCCATAGTTCTTGGTACTCTATTCATTCGGGCACCGCTAAGATGTATTAGGATTTGCAGCAGCATTATTGGTGGAGGAGGATGAAGAAGGATATTGTTGCATACATAGCTCGGTATTTGAATTGTCAGCAGGTAAAGTACGAGCATCAGAGACCTGGTGGTTTGCTTCAGAAGATTGAGATTCCTGAGTGGAAGTGGGAGCGTACCACTATGGACTTTGTTGTTGGACTCCCAAGGACTCAGAGGAAGTTTGATGTGGTATGGGTTATTGTTGATAGGCTGACCAAGTCAGCGCATTTCATTCCTGTGGCAGTCTCTTATTCTTCAGAGAGGTTAGTTGAGATCTATACCCAGGAGATTGTTTGTCTTCATGGTGTGCCTGTGTCTATTATTTCTGACCGAGGTATGCAGTTTACTCACATTTCTGGATGGCATTTCAGCGTGAGTTGGGTACACGGGTCGAGTTGAGCACATCATTTCATCCTTTGATGGATGGACAATCTGAGCGTACTATTCAAATTTTGGAGGATACGTTTTGCGCCTGTGTTATTGACTTTGGAGGTTCTTGGGACCGGTTCTTGCCATTAGCGGAGTTTGCTTAGAATAACAACTATCAGTCGAGCATCCAGATGGCTCCCTATGAGGCATTATATGGTAGACGGTGTTGATCGCCAGTTGGGTGGTTTAATTCGGGGGAGGCTCGATTGTTGGGTACAGATCTAATACATGATGCCTTGGACAAGGTTAAGATCATTCAGGATAGGCTTCATACAGCTCAGTCCAGGCAAAAGAGTTATGCCGACCGTAAGGTTCGTGATGTGGCATTCATGGTTGGAGAGCGAGTGTTGCTTCGGGTGTCGCACATGAAGGGCGTGATGAGATTTGGAAATAAGGGCAAGCTAAGCCCTAGGTTCATCGAGCCTTTTGAGATTCTTGATCGAGTGGGAGGGGTGGCTTATAGACTTGCGTTGCCACCCAGTTTATCCACAGTGCATCCAGTGTTTCATATGTCCGTGCTTTGGAAGTATCACCTCGATCCATCCTACGTGTTAGACTTCAGCACTGTCCAGTTGGACAAGGACTTGACCTATGAGGAGGAGCCAATAGCTATTCTAGACTGGCAGGTTCGTTAGTTGAGATCGAAGACAGTTCGTGTGCAGTGGAGAGGTCAGCCTATTGAGGCAACAACCTGGGAGTCCAAATTCGATATGCGGAGCCGATATCCCCATCTTTTCACCGACTTAGGTACTTTTCTATGTCCATTCGAGGACGAACGGTTGTTTTAGAGGTGGAGAATGTGATGACCCAAAGGGTCATCTTGTATTTTAGAGTCCGAATCCGGGTTCCGAGGCCTTGAAAACCTTATTTTTTCTTCTCAATTTGTATGTGCAGTACGGGCACGTTTCCGAAAAGCTTCTATGTGAAATTTAAGAAAAATATTAAATTTGGCCTTTAAAATTGAATAAAGTTGACTTCGGTCAATATTTTTGGTAAACGGACCCATAGCCGTGATTTGATGGTCCTGTAGGGTCCGTAGTTAAAATATGAGGGGCATATGCCCGAAATCGAATTCCGAGATCCCTTGGCCGAGAAAATTTTTTTTAAAGAAAATTATTTGCTGGAAAATATAAGGACTTTTAGAAATGAAATGGTGTGTGATCTTGATAGTATTGGGTTCGTATTTTGGTTCTGGAGCTCGGTATATGTTTAAAATAATATTTAAGTCGAATATGTAAAATTTGGTAAGAATCGGAGTTGATTTGACGTGATTCGGACGTCTGGTTGTGAAAATAGTAAATTTAAAGTGTTCTTGAGGAAAATCATGAGTTTGAGGTTAATTTATAGTTTTTGATGTTATTTTGATGATTTGATCGCACGAGCAAGTCCGTATGATATTTTTAGACTTATGTGCATGTTTGGTTTGGAGCCCCGAGGGCTCGGGTGAGTTTTAGATAGGCCACAGAGTGATTAGAACTTAGGAAAACTCAGCTGTGCATCTGGTGTTTTGCACAGGCCTCTGATCTCGCGAGATCAGGCTTCGCAAATGCGAACTCTGTTGGCCTGGAAAATGCAACAATGTTGTCGCAAATGCGAAGAAGGCCTGGGAAGGCCAACCTCGCAAATGCGAAACCTTGGCCGGAATTGCGAAGGCCCCAGAGGTTGCAAATGCGACATATGTGTCGCAAATGAGAAGGCAACAGAAATTCAAATGCGAACCCCTAATCGTAATTGCGATAACTGCAGCCTGTTAAGTGATATTTTAGATGGGATTTTCACTTCATTCTTCAAAATTTCAAAACTTAAACTTAAGGGCGATTTTTCTAGAGCAAGTTCTTCCCTAAATCATAGTTAAATGAATCTTAACTCTTTTTCTTCAATTTACTTCATCTTTTTATATGATTTCATCTCAAAATCTAGGGTTTTTCATGAGAAATTAGGTGTTCTTGGGTAGAAATTAGGAATTTCAAAAATTGGGAATTTTGACCTCAAATTGAGGTCGGATTTCAAAACCAATTGCATATATGAGTTCGTGGGTAAATGAATAGTCGGATTTTGATTCGAACTTTGAGTTTTGACCAAGCGGGCCCAGGGTCAATTTTTGACTTTTTGGAAAAAATATTGGAAAATCTATATTCATGCATTAGAATTGGTTTATTTAGCATTTATTGATGTTATTAAGTAAATTATGACTAGATACAAGCGGATTGGAAGTGGAACCGAGAGGTAAAGCGGTAATTGAGGCTTGATTTTGTCCGTGGAATTGAGATAAGTGTTTGGTCTAACCTTAACTTGAGGGAATAGGTGTTGTGGTCTTATTTGCTACGTGTTAGTGTTGAATACGACGTATAGGTGTGGTGACGAGTATCTATACGTTGGTGTCAAGCATGCCCGTGAGTCTTATACCATGATTGTTGTGACTCTTATTACGTACTGTTCATGCATAAGTTGATGATTATCACTGTTGAACTAGACTTATGATAATTTCTTGGTAATTGACCATTGTTGGGTATTGGCTCAAGTTGAGATTTATTTTGTGAAGTAATTGTTGGAACGACATTGGTTATAGCTGATTCCCTTGCCGGGATGTTATTGTTTCTGTTATTGATTCCCTTGCCGGGACGTACTGTTCTATTGTTTGGATGAGGAAGAGTGTAAAACACGAAGAGTGATGTCGTGCATGATATTTGTGAGTGGGTGTTAATGCACGAAGGGTGATGTCGTACCAATATTGTGAGTGTTAATGCACGAAGGGTGATGCTGTGTTGATATTGTGAGAGTTAATGCACGAAGGGTGATGCCGTTTCATGATTATGAGAGTTAATGCACGAAGGGTGACGCCGTGCCGATTCTGTTGTTTCTTATGGTGAGGACGGGAGTAAAAGCACGAAGGGTGATGCCGTGCACGTGCTACTGTTTCATTATTCCTGTTGATACAAATATGGTTTTCATTATGCTTCTCTATTGAATTACTGTTAGAATTTGATATTTCCCGCAGCATGTTCCCCCTTCCCATCTTTATCTGTTATTTCCTGTTATTATCGTTCTGTTCGTATATGATTTAACTGCCCAGGTTTATATGGCTGTCGTGTCCTAGCCTCGTTACTACTTCGCCGAGGTTAGGCTCGACACATACCAGTACATGGGGTCGGTTGTACTGATACTGCACTCTGCATTTTTTGTGCAGATTTCGCTGTCGAACCTTGTGAGTAGCTTGAGGTAGCTACCTTCAGTCCAGGGAGACCAAGGTAGATCTGCTGGCGTCCGCAGAGCCTGAAGTCCCCCCTTTCCCCGCTTTAGTTTTCTGTTGTCTCTTCTGTTTCGAGAACAATTGTACTTCTTTTTCAGACTTATATTTGTAGTAAATCTTAGTCATTCGTGGATTGCGATACCAGATCTTTGGGGTAGCTATGTACTTGAGTTGTGGCACTGTTATATTACTTCCGCATTTCCTATTTATCTTGTTTTAACTAATATCTGTTTTTGTTTGAATTAATAGTAATGGTAGTAAAACTGTAACTGTCGGCTAGCCTAGCTTTCACGAGTAGGCGCCATCACGATTCCCGAATGTGGGAAATTCGGGTCGTGACAAAAAAAATGAATACTTTTGAAACTTGAGACCTTAAATATATTATTGTATTTGTGTGGTTGTAAAACTTTTGAAACTTGTAGCCTAGGATATGTTATAACATTATGCGGCTACTCATTAAGGGAAGAATCGAAAGTATAAAAATAATTATTTCCAAATATAAAATTATGTAGCCTAGGATATGTTATAACATTATGAGCCTACTCATTAAGGGAAAAATCGAAAGTATAAAAATAATGATTTCCAAATATAAAATTATTAATAAGAAAACAGTGTTGTGGTACTGCATTAATGGTTTGCAATTTATAAGTCGCATTAATGGTTTGCAATTTATAAGTCGCATTAATGGTTTGCAATTTATAAGTCGCATTAATGGTTTGCAATTTATAAGTCGCATTAATGGTTTGCAATTTATAAGTCCTTACTTGAATGGGATTTATATATTGGCTTAGGCCAGGATAAGGAAAAATGTCCGAGTATCCTCTCTTCAGTTAGCTACTTTTATAGTTTCATTTGCTGCATTAATTAACCAAAAAATATGGCCGCGGCAACCGCACACAGCTGGTTCACGGTGCTGACCTCCACCGGCGGCGGCACTTCACGATGCTCTCTCTCATCTCACCGTCTCTTTTCAACTTCCCTTAGACCTTCTTCTTTCTTCCTTCCTAAAGCTTCCACTCAAAATCAAAATCATAACAAAAATGTTCTCAAGAAATCATCCGAGGTAAATTAACATCATCGTCTCTGCTATTTTTTTTAATACTCAATCACCATTGGATTAGGTTCTGTTTTACTTTATCTTTATTATACTGTGTATTGTATTGTCTTAAAAGATAAATTATTTAGTATTTTAATAAAATTTCCCTGGATAGAGCTGAATGGATCGTGAATTGTGATGTTAGCTTTTGGCAGAGATGAAGCCAGGATTTCAACCTTATGAGTTCAAAATTTTAGAACGACGATTTCAAGTGCTAATAACTGGGTTCTACACTTAATATTTGTACATATTTAATAAGTTTCTTAACATAAATACTCTATTTGAGCAAACCCGTAACCGGACTTCTAGCTCCGCCCCTGGCTTTTGCTGTATATATTATAATTGAGTTCTCATTTATTGGTTGCTTTATAAATTCTTCTTTTTTTCATGTTGGTCAATACGCTGTAGTCCAACTAATAAGAAAACATTCCTAGTTGGTGCTGTGGAATAATATGCACTCACTCACTCACTCACACATATATAATATTATATATAACATAGCGAAATAGTGGGACTTTAATATTGAGTCGTTTTTATGATACTTCCCGAAATTAGATAAGAAATGGCGAACTGAGTGTATGAGAAGGTTACATGAATTTTGCAGTGTCGAAAATGTATTATGCTTAGCCATGCTTGTATTGATATGGATTTTTGTTGGCGGTACATGCGAGAAAGGAAAAAGATGAAGAATACACTTCTAACCTCTTGCATGCTTTATATAATCAAGGAGCGATATGGAGTGCAACTGAAAATGGGGTTAAGGCAAGTTAAATCATGATTTTTAATGTTTTCTGGTTTTTTTACTTGATGAGAAAGATTGAAAGAAGTATTTTGTGAAGGAGACATGCAATGCAAGCTTAAAATATAACCTCTTGCAAAAAAACTACTTTTTCCCCCCTCTTTTGGTCCTTATTTGAAAATTATTTTTACTTGTTGTTTGATTCAGTTTGAATCACTATGATCTGCTCTAGCTGTTCTCATGGTTCTGCTCATCAGAGCCAGTCATGTTACTTTGTTCCAATTTAGGGAAAAAGTATTTCATTGTTGTTTATGAGTAGAACTTTTATTAAACAAGCAAAGCCATGAATTCAGAAAGAAGCTGATAAACAGAAGTTTCCACAGAGATCAAAAAATGAAGGGCCTTTTGCAAATGCAGATGGCAGGAGCAGTACGAATGAAGCAGGACGATCTCAACTGGCATCAATTAAATCATTTGGTCTGCAGAGAAAAGGGAAGGGAGTTCTGTTGGACTCAAAGGAGCAGCAGGTAAGAAAGTCAACTTCTTCTCTCCATTTTGTCTAGGTGATTGGCTTCTTTCTTGCTCTTGAGAAATATACAGAACAAGGGAAAATGGGTGTTAGTCGTGCAACTCTGTGTGTCTGTGGGGTTGGGGTTTTTGGGGGTGGTGGTGGTTGGGTAATAACATGAAAGGCCTTGCACTTTTTCACATTCTCTTTTACCCTTTTATAGTTTTTATCACATGATGCTGTTATGCACATTTGCATAAATGGGTGCCATGCCGAGGTGAACCTATGACTTTAAAAGTTCCCCTGTACCATCTGCTCTTTTGTTGTTGTAATATGTGCCGTCATATAAATATATATCTGTAAAAGTTTTCAATTTCATATATGTACATGTGTGTGTGTGTGTGTGTGTTTTCCAAGTTGAAGACGATGTCCTGCAGCCAAAACACTCCATCTATTGCCATGTTTTCAACTTATTGCTTTTGGCTTTCTATTCTTTATTTTTGCTGCACTTCAGGACAACAACAATGTTCTTGAGATTCTTTTTTTTCTAAGATATAGGGATGTTATCTTGGAGAGGATGTAACTTAACTCTGATACTTCTATGTTCTTCCCAAATATACTTTTTATCCCGCCATTCCCCTATCTATTTTATCCTGCTTACTTGTACTCAAGAATTATACGACTTTGGTGCTGTCAAGTTCTTGATCTTTCTTATGTTCCAAAAGATGTTGTTTCAATTGTTCTACACCACTGCACCTAAGTTGTTTTTCTTTTCCAGGTAGAAACTAGTAGCATCCAAGATGCAGCTTTTCTTAATGCTGTTGTGAAGGTGAATATATTTTAATGTATATGGCAATGTTCTAATTATGCAAATTTGTTTGAATGCCTCATCTTCAAATCTCAAGGTGAAGGTGTAGATCATTTGAATCATGAAATTAGTGAAAGGGGATCCCCTGGGAAACTATCAAATTCAGTACTCATCTTATCCTTAGCTTGCTTAGAAAGAGAAATTTGTGAAATAGCCTCGTGTATCTCTAAACAGTTGTGTCACTGGGCATTTATAAAGTGTGTTGTTGTCGTTGTTAGACACGAAATTATTCTCGAATGGTTTGGTTCTTCCAGTTCAAAGATAATAAAAACTGTGCTTAAAATACTTATGCAGCACTTAGAATGGTGCTCAGTTTCTTCTGTAGCCTCAATAGGTCCATCATGTGATTGCTTTCAACATATCTGCAAGTGCACTTATGAATGACTTTTATATGGATTGCATGACAATTTAATAATGTTTACTAACATTCCCATTTCCATTTTGTTTGTGTCAAGGTTTACATTTCCATTTTGTTTGTGTCAAGGTTTACTGTACACATACTGCTCCAGATTATTCCCTTCCTTGGCAGAAACAAAGACAATATACAAGTACTGGAAGGCATGCTCTTTCTCCTTTCTCTCTTAGTAAATTATGGAAAATGGCAAATTTCCTATGAACAGTAGTTCTGCGATGTGTTATTCTCTGATATTGTCTACTATATCTGGTAGGCTGATCTTTGTATGGGGGGGATAGCCTAGAAGTCTGACTTTAGTTTGATTTGTTCAGTGCTTTCATGATTGGTGACGGAAAGCTCTTAACCAATGCACATTGCGTTGAACATGATACACAGGTACCTACTTTTATGGCTCTCTCTTCTCAAGTATAGTGGCTAGTGTTGTAGTCAGTGTTCACTATTGTTGAACCCCTGCTATTTAGTTGTCGATTACATTGTTCTACTCCATCGCCTGTCAAATGCGACTTTTAACTTAATCAAAATTAATATTTTTGGTGGCAGGTCAAAGTGAAGAAAAGGGGAGATGACACAAAATATGTTGCTAAGGTATGCTTTCCATGATAAGTTTTAAATACCTGCACAAAATATGCTCTATTGTTTTACTCTTGTAAGACGAATAACGGAGTCATCTCGGGCTCTTATATGGAAACAGAAAACAGTTTGAGACCAATCATTAGATGATGTCTCCTAAAAGGTACTCCCTATGTACAGTTTATGTGAAATTATTTCCTTTTTAGTCTGTTCTAAAAAGAATGTTCCCTTTTTAGGTTTTGAAAACAATTAACGTTAAACTTTCCATTTACCTTTAATGACATGATTTTATAACCACTCAAATGTCACGACATGTTTAAGACCACAAGTTCCTAAAGTCTTTATTTTTTCTTAAATTCCGTGTCCACTCGAACAAGTTCCCAAAAAATGAAATGGAGGGAGTAATACTATTGGAATGAAAGGGATTGTGGTGATTATTCTTTGACAAGATTTATTTTGAATGGTGAAAACATCTGAAGCTAAGTGAGACATGATATGTTAGACCAAAATCATTGGGACGTATTATAGTCTTGGAGTAATGCATTATACGATGTGCGTTAAAGTAGATCTGGTATTTCTGCAGCTAGATTGCTTTCTCTTGCTTCTACTAAAAAGAAACTGAATTATAGCTAGATATTACTGCTGTCTCTCCAACTCTCCCTCTTTTCCTCTTTGCTTTACCTGTAATAAGAAAACCGTGCACCTAGACTTTTATATATGAGGCAGTACACATACGCAAGTATTCCGGGCTCTTTCCTTGTTTATTATTATGTGACTTTATCTGGGGCTAATGTGCTTCTCGTATTTGTTTAGTCCTGAGCTAGCATACGGGATGTTCTGGTGTCCTTTGAGAAGTAGATGTATTCTTTCATATGATCCAATCTTGAGTTTGATTCAGCTTGTTTCCTTTCCTCAACAGCC